GAGAGAGGAAGCAATGAATGTTGTATGACTCAATACTTCATGATAATAGCTAGTATTTATATTTCACTTTAAGGTTTGTAAATCATTTTACAAATATTATCTCATTCAATCCTCACAACAACCTCAGGAGGTAGGTGCTATTGTTATTCCCATTTTATCGATGAGAAAACTGAGGCAAATAAAGGCTAAGTGACTTGCCCAGGGTCACCCAGGGTAATTATCTTAGGTGGAATTTAAACATACGTCTTCTTGATTCTAAGCCCAATACTCTATTCACTGAGCCATCTTGTTGTCTCATGGGACTGCTACTTTGGACTAATAGTACATGAGATTAATGCTTTTAATGTAACAACTATTTGCTTAACTATGATGTTGAGGTTTGAGTTACTGAAAAGATAGGCTGGATCTGGAAGAAACAGAAGTGGCCAGTGGGGGTGGGAGGAAAGCAAAGTCAATGAGTACAAAGGAATGATTAACTCCTAGACTGAGTTCACTTCTTCCCATAGCAGAGAAGGAGTGGAATGCTAGATGATTGACAGTTCCTTTGCCCCATGCTAACAGGCTAGCATGTCACTTGTGGCCACATGCAAATGAACTTAATTATGAATAGTATATATTCAAATGATATATTCAGTAATGAGGGCATGAAATCAAATATATAATACAGGCAAATAATGCCTATGATTTTTTTTTTCTGTTTGTTAACTCTCCCTTTGGTCAAATAAAGCAGGAAGATTTATGCTGCTGGAAGGCAAAGACTCTTTTTTGCTTTCTCATGTTATCCTCAGAGCCTCATATAATGTCTTACCTTAGCGAATTTTTAATAAATGCTTGATAAATATATGAATAAAATGAAAAAGAATATTATATACATACAAATATATATTAAAGTTATATATATATGTGTATATATATATATATGTATACATACATACATACATATCTTGAATTCTGGTACATTCATTCTCTTGTCCACTCTAGTCAAACTTATATCATCACTTCTGATCAGTGTTGCCATGGAGGCATTTGATCCTTTTCAGCTCAGAGATTCTGATTCTATGCATGAGAAAAAGCAGGTTTCCTTAGGGGAGAAACAAGAAAGAGGGGGAGATTTTTCTCTAAAGATTTGGAATGGACTTCCATTTTCCATCGCTTTAATGGTTAAAAGCATGTGTCCTTAATTTTGTCTACTCTAATTTGTGGTTTTCCTTTTCTTTCCGTGGTACAAACTCTAAACTTATACTCACTGATCATAACTGGTGCCATAGGAAAGGGAATAAAGGTGGAAGAAACATTTTCTGAAGAAAAGAATGAAAGGATCTCAAGAGAATACATACATACAGATATGTGTATGAGAAATAGATTGCCTAAGGCAAAAATGAAATGAGTCATGAGCCAAGTTCTAATACTTGCTAATCTTCTTTTAATCTTCCTGAGTCTCAATTTACTTTTCTGCAAAATGGGTATATCAATAAATAACTTACTCATTTCTCAGACTGGTTGTGAAGAAAATACTTTGAAAAATTTAAATCATATTAAAATATGAGTCATGATAGTAACAATTATGAAAAATGGAGAAGCATAGTCTGTATGGCTTCCTTGGTGGGGATAAAAAGGAGATAGTAAAGAAAAGGAACCAGCATTTACTAAGCACCTGTCATGTTGCAGGCACTGTGCTAAAAGCTTTACAAATATTATTTCTTTTGATTATTGAAATAGTCCTTTAAAGTAAGTGCTATTATTATCCTCATTTTACAGTTAAGGAAACTGGGTTGGACAGAGGTAAGTGACTTTTCCAGGAGTTTCACAACTAGTAAGTGTTTAAGACAGGGTTTGAACTCAGGTCTTTCTCATTCCAGGTCTGGAACTCTATCCACTGAACCACTTAGGCACTTAGGCACGTAGGGTGATGGGAGACATTGAATCAGATAGTTTTCTATTCCTGACACTGGGTGGTGCCATTTGGTTCAGGGAAGCTTGGTAGCTGTTCAGAGAAATCATAGCAAACTGTCTTAAACAGGCAATATCAGCCAGCTCTTGATGAATGTGGAACAATCTTCAATCTTGTTTTCGTAACTTGGGAAGTACCCTCACATTAAAGGTGTGTGAAGGAAAAAAAATAAACCATTAGGAGTTCTTCAGCTTGGTAACTACTTTCATGAATGAGAAGAAAATAATTTTATTTTTAAAAATTTTTTAACTTATTTATTTAATTTAATTTTCAACATTCACTTCTATAAGATTTTGAGTTCTAAATTTTCTTCTCTCCCTCCCCCCCATCCTCTTCCCCAAGATAGTATGCAATCTGGTATAGGCTATACACGTACAATCATATTAAACATATTTCCACATTAATCATGTTGTGAAAGAAAAATTAGAACCAAAGGGGAAAACCACAAAAAGAAGAAATAAAAAAGAGGAGAGGGAGCAAGAAAGTAGTATGCTTCAATCTGCGTTCAGACTCCATAGTTTTTTCTCTGGATGTGGATATCATTTTCCATCATGAATCTTTTGGAAATGTTTTAGATCCTTGCATTGCTGAGAAGAACTAAGTCTATCAAAGAAAATAATTTTCAAAATATCACTCTGCCATTGGAAGGGGGCTTTGGCCTTTAAACTCATTAAGATGAATTTGATCATGAGTCAGGCTGATCCACAGACTCTCATCCCGGTTCTCAGGATGATCAATGTCAAAGCAACTCCCAATATAAGCCTTGGTTACTTGTTTAAACAATGACAAATTATAAATGGTAAAATTGCTAAAAACATTTCTTAAACATTTTTCTGTACAGGGAAGGTCTCATGTAGGAAATGTCACTGGAACCACGCTTTAAAGAAAGCTTTAAAACTTTTAAAGGAAGGACAGCTGAGGAAGGATTGCATTCTGCATATGAAACTGGGGGAACTGCTTATGTAAAGCTATGAAAGTAAGAAGTAGAACACCTTTTTGATGAATAGCTTGTATTCCAGTCTGACCGAAATTAAAAATGTGTGAAAGGGAGTAGTCTGAAATAAGACCGGAAGTTTAGTGGAAACCAGATTGGGTGGTGGTGGGTAGTGATGTGTGGGGTGGGGTTGGATTTAATGTCAAGCTAAGGTTTTGTATTTTCTTCTAGAGGCAGTAGGAAACTATTAAAGATTTTTTTTTTTTTTAGCACGGTGGTGGCATGGTGAAGTATGTCATAGAAATATCAATTGGGCAGCTGTGTGGAGGATGGATTGTAGAGGGGAGAGACTGGATGCAGGGAGATCAATTATGAGGCTATTGCAATAATCCAGGAGAAAGGTGATAAGGACCTGAATTGGACTAGAGGCTGTGTGAAAGAAAAGGAGATGGATGTAAGAGAAGTTTTGAAAGTAGAATTGATAAGACTTAGCAACTTATTGTGTAAGAGAGATGATGAAGAACTGAGTTGTGGATGAGTCCATGGTAGCAACTGGAAGGATGGTGGTATCATCAACAGAAATGAAGAAGTTCAAAGCAAGAATGGGTTTAGTGGACAATACAATGAATTCCATTTTAGATATGCTGAATTTGAGATTCCTGAATTTTGGGATATCCAGATAGAGAGGTACAGCTGTCAGTTGATAATTTTGGATTAGAGTTCAGGAGAGAGATCAGGGCTAAGAATATTGATTTGGGAGTCACCTGCTTATGGATGATAATTCAAATAATAGATGCTGATGAGATCACCAATTTAGAGAATATATATAGAAAAAGTAAAAGGGCTTAGGCCAGAGCCTTGGGGGTATTAGTCAGGTAGTAGTCAGACAGGTAGGAAGTGAATCAAGAGTGAGCAGTGTCACAGAAGCTAGGAAGGAGAGAGTATCCAATAGGAAGAGAAGGTCAACAATGGCCAATCTGTTCTGTCTGGTCACATGTGTCAGTCTAAAGAGGGCATTGGAAAACAACTATGAGATGAAGTGACCACTACCTCTTGTGGCAGCAGCTAGAGAGAGATGAATTAGAATTACAGAATTTCAGAGCTGGAAGGACCTCAGCAGCCATCTGCTCCAATTCATATCCCTATGATAACATACTGGTCAAGTCACCCTCTGCTTGAGGGCCTCCAAGGAGAGACAAGCCACTGCCTCATAAGGCAGCCTATTCCACTTTCTCATACCTTTAATTATTAGGGAGTTTTTCCTGATATCAAGTTGCAATGTATTCCTTTTCGATTTCTACCCATTGATCCTTGGTGTGCCCTTTGGGTACAAATAGATCAAATCTAATTCTTCTAGCTCTTTAAGTACCTGAAGATAGCTCTCATGCTCATACTCTCATCTCACTCCCTGCTCTCCCCTCCTTTCTCTTCTCTAGGATAAGCATACCTAATTCTTTCAACCTATCCTTACGTGACATGAAATCAAGGCCCTTCATCTTCCTGGCTGCCTTCCTCTGGACAACCTCCAGAAACAGGAGCTCCCTGAAGAGAGCCTTTCCCACAAGCTCAATCTTTGTTGGCTCTAAAGAGAACAGAGGAACAGAGACTAAAAGAAATATTAAATTCAGCTCTGTGTCTGGTTCCAACAGTTGTTGATATTGTTAATTAAGGTCACATTTGAAAAAAGTCATCTCTAGATAAAACATACTTTCCAGAAAGTGGAATATTATTTTCCTCTTCAATTTACATACATGGGAAACTTTTGTGCTTCTTGGAATTTCTATTAAAATTCTGAATTTTCCACCAATAACTTTCAAACACCAACGTTTCCAAGAAGAGAATCCTTCTCCTTCACCTTGCTTTGCTCCTGATTTTTTTTAAATACCCACCCCACCTCTGGAAACATACCCTCCCCTTTTTTGTGACATACAGGAAAATATTTACCACAAGTTTTCTGTTAATAACACTGGAATCCTCAAAATTTGCAAAGCAAGAGGGTGGGTCAGCACCCTGGTTCCCTATTCTCCTTTTTCTCTCATTGAAGAGAAACCGGATGTGCTCATGTGATTGACAAGCAGAGGGGAACTTGTGAAAGTGACCATGCTGTACAAAAAGAAAGCCACAGCTATCTTGGGCTTCCAGATGAGGTAGAGCTGCAGAGACAACTGACTCTGGGGAGCATCTAGCAGACATGGAACCAAAGAAAATCAGGGATGGTTACCTTGTGAAAAAGGTAAGTGGCAGCAACTGCCTAAAAGGACTTCATGATCCAGGGGACTGGTCTCCACATTAAGTTATCTAAAGACCAAATGGAGAAGATGTCTGTGTTAGTTTATATATTTTTATTGTATTTTTCATTGTTCTGACTTGGGATTTCATCAATGGAGGGGATCTCTTGGCATGCAAATTTCTTCCCTTGATGCAGATTAGCTACTTGTCTATAACTCATAGTCTTAGAGAGACAATTAGGAATGATTGCTTTTAAGAATATTTAATACTAAGCATTGAATAGTGGTGGGTTAGAATAAGGAAGCATCCTAGCTTGTAAAATGTTGAAGGCAGAGCCATTATTCACATGTAAAATTACTCAGAGTTCATGTTCATTTAAAAAAATTTTAAATAATATTTTATTTTTCCCCAATTACATGTATAAACAATTTTAAACATTCACTTTAAAAAAATTGAGTTCCAGATTCTCTCTCTCTTTCCTTCCCTGAGACTCTGGAACTCACTTTTTTTAAATTGAGAATTGTCCTGGATCTTGCTGAGAATAGCTAAGTCATTCAAAGTTGATCATTAAACAATACTGCAGGTTCACTATTAAAAATTTTTTAAGTATCTTTTTTGGAGGGAGGCGATGTAAAGTGAATAAGGTAGAGAAAGAAAACAAAATGATTACTGATCAAGATGGTGATAGCCTAGTTTCTTAGTATCTTACTATTGATATGTTTATGTAATAACAATTTTAAAATTATCTTTTTTAGAAGCTTGACCTTGAATCTTGTTGAATCTTGTCTCTGCTACTTAGAGTCTCTGTGAACTTGGGCACATTACTTAGCATCTCTGAGTCATATTTTTCTCACATATAAAATGATGAGGCTGGACTAAATGACCTCTGAGGTTTCTTCTAATACTAAATCTTATGATTCTATAATCCTTTAGCCTACAGTTCATAATACAGTCATAAGACAGCTGTGTCTGTGAAGCAGTAGGAGCTCCATTTTGCAGATTAGAAAGCTGAGCTATCAAGAAAGAGATGATTTTCTCAAATATATATGAACCAACTGTGATGGAGCTTGGAAAGACCATCTACCATTAGCCCTTCTCCCCCCCCCCCCAAATTCTGGTGATAGGTTTGTCCTCAGAGTCATTCTGAAACTCTCTTACCAAAATGTATTCACTGGCAGGGCTGAGGTTAATTTGCATTCTGTGAGAAATACCTTCATAAACAGATAGGCAAATAATGTCCTTTTAAGTGAGGTCAGTGTTCCACTGTGCTGAAAGGAAAAAGGAGAGTTTGTCTCATTGATTTAGGTCATATTCTTCCTGAAGTGGTCTTCATACAGGGGATGCCTCACTAACCAACTGACTCCCAGGTAAAATTTGAGACCTGAAAGGGATTATAGAGTTCATTCAGATCAATCTCTCCATTCTGTAGATATGGTAGTTGAAACTCAGAAAAGCAAAGTGACGGCAGAGCTGAAATAAGAACCCTGGTTTCCTGACTTTAAGATCAGTTTTTCCACTGCAGCACAGGCCTTTTAAAAACATGTTTTAACTTAGTTCATAAGGTGGTGCTGTCCCAGGTCCTATCTAGCTAGAAGTTAGAAACCCTGGATGCCGATAAAGAAATGGTACAATTGTGCATGCAGGGTATATCTTGGAACATTTCTGAACAAAGCTAAATGCCCACTTGCCTTTCCAAAATGCAGTAAGGCTCTCTTGTTGATGGCAGTAATGGATATATGTCTCACTTTGTTATTCTTGTGTACCTAGGCCAAGAAACGATGACAGTTAGTGGACTGAGAACTAGGCTTTGAGTTGTTGTTGAGTCATTTCAGGCATGTCTGACTCTCTGCAACTCTCCATAATCCTGGCAAAGACACTGGAGTGGTTTGCCATTTCCTTCTCCAGCTCGTTTTACAGATGAAGAAACTGAGGCAAAAAGTGTTGAGTGAATTGTCCAGGGCCACACAGCTAGCAAGTATCTGAGATTGTTTTTGAACTTAAGTCCTCCTGACTCCAGAGCCAGCATTCTATTCACTGCACCATCTAGCTGCCTGAGGTCTGGGTTTTGGACCTGGGTTCAAATCCCATTTCTGGCATTCACTAGTTATGTAACTCTGGACAATCTGTGTGCCATAGGCAACTCCCTGGGATGTAGTAATAAGTTTGAGTTGGTGGGGAAAGGAGTTTCCCATGCTGATGAAATCAAAAAGGCTTCCATTTTCATGTAAATAGGCCAATTAACTTTTGAGAGATAGAGGTTTAGGAACTGCTTTTTTTTTTAAGCTTTTCGGTAAAGTGAACTAAAAAGAATCAGTAATTATGACACTTGTCATCAGAGAAAAATATTGGGCCATTAACTTAAAATAAGTTAATCTATGAATATGAAACATATAGTATATATGAAAATGAAAAAAACATTTTTACTATGCTGTTAGGCAATAGTGATTATAGAATTGTCATTCACATAATGAACTTGGATGAAAAAAAATCAAACCAATACAAATAAACCTCTCCTTGGGGCCCATAAAGCTCAATCTTTAAAAAATACCTAAGAATAATAAACAGTGGAACCTATCTCATGGGATTTAGAGATGGAAATTATCTTAGAGATGATTTCATCCAGTCCTCTCATTTTCTTATTCTTCTTCTAATTCTTCTTCTTTAACTTCTTTTCCTTCTCCTTCTCCTTCTTCTCCTTCTCCTTCTTCTCCTTCTTTTTCTTCTCCTTTTCCTTCTTCTTCTTCTTCTTCTTCTCCTTCTTCTCCTCCTTTTCCTTCTTCTGCTTCTTCTTCTTCTTCTTCTTCTTCTCCTTCTTCTCCTTCTCCTTCTTCTTCTTCTCCTTCTTCTCCTTCTCCTTCTTTTCTTCCTCCTCCTCCTCCTCCTCCTCCTTCTTCTCTGGAGAAGGTCTGGGAAAAGTTATTTTTATATGTAAGCCAGAGGAGTGGAGGCACACCAGCAGAAGTTTGTTGATTGCAGCACCATTGACATTTTGTTTTCTGTTTTATTTCTATGCAAAATATTTCCTCCTCATTATGAAGCTCAGGTCCCCTTATCTCTGTTGCCTGACTGATATTTTCAAAGTTGAATGGGGTTTCTGGGAAGGAGGGCAAACACATCAATTTGTCATTTAGAAATTTTGTCCTTCTATGAGTAGAGTGTTTTAGAACTTTCTTGTCTTTAAATTGGAGTCTCATAACTTGTGATTTAAATTTATCTATCCAATCTAGACAAGTGAAATCTAGCCCAATGAAATCTCAATATGGCCTATTGATAACCATTGTAAGGCCTTGGCAAATTTCTAAAGTAAATGAAATTGATTTCTATTTCTTTTTCTTTAATAATTAATTAATTAATTTTTAGTTTTCAACATTCACTTCCATAAGATTTTGAGTTTCAAATTTTCTCCCCCTCTTTTTCCTCCTTCCTCTCCAAGATGGCATGCAATCTGATATAGGGTCTGTTTATACATTAATGTTAATCATTTTCACATTAATCATGATGTAAAGAAGAATTAGAACTAATGGGAGAAACCACGAGAAAGAAGAAACAAAATGATCTCTTTCTGACACTCTCCCCTTTCTGTGTGTTTTCACTTTGTAGTTTCTCCAGTTTTCCCTAATACTCACCTTTCCTTGCTTGGCCTACTCTCTCAGATCCTTAGTGTTGTCCCTCCTATCAGAATCTGTTTTTGGAAAAGGATTTTTATAGCAGTCATTTACATCTTGGTTGGAACTTGCCACCTCCTTTTCTTCCCCTTATAACCTTATCTTTAGTTGAGTGAGAAACCTGGTGAAAGGAATTTCAGCTATCAATGAAGAGAAGGAATTATTTGTGGACAAAGGAGACATTTCCAATGCTACTAAACTTGTACTACAAAGAGAGTCATTATTCTCACTATTCCTAAGTCTGGACCTATTTGTAATTATGAAAGAGATGAGAAACGATAGGTAATAAGTTACTATGCAACCACAAAGTCCTGATGCTCAACTTCTTGTTTATTAGTCATTGGGGACTCAATAATTGTCTCGTTGGGTTGGAAGTGGAAGATAATACTACCATTTATATAGTGTTTTAAGATAGAGGAAAAAGGGAAGGTAGAGAGAGTCAGAAAGATACACACACACAGAGACAGAGAGAGAAAAATGGTAGTAGCAGGGAGTCTGAAGCAGAGTGGGAGTTAACCCTTTTGTTTTCTGCTTCCCAACCCTGGAACTCATGTGACTGCTATGATGTATATTAATTTAATAGGATAACGAAATACAGAAAATATGCTAGAGATCACTAGTGAAATCCCTTCATTTTACAGTTGAGGAAACCGAGACACAGAGATGCAAAGTGACTTGCCCAAAGTGACACAACCAGTGGCAAAGCCAGAATAAGAGTGCAGGTCTCATATTCACTACAATACTCAGACTTTCCATTGTATTTTACATGTTTCAGTTAGATTATAACTCACTCTTCCTATAGTTGTATTTTTTATGTGTTAAATTTCAGTGAAAAAACATAATATCAAAGCTAGAGCTCAGACTTTAGTCAAGTTTCAAAACAGTAAGTATTTTTTCTTAAAGTATAAATGGTTAGTGAATTCCAGTCACAAACTTGGTATGTGAAAGGAGAAGTGCTAGAAAGGGGAAGTTAAGGGAGGCTCTTTATTTTATGGAAGGTATCTGTAAGAAGTTTTTAAACTAATACCTAAAGTTCACACCCCAAACTAAATTTCATCTCTTTTGAGGGGCTGTTTGCTATAGCCATCTGCTGAGTGAATTCACTCACTTATTCACTTGTTCACTCATTTATTCATTCATTCATCAGTTCATTTCTTCATTATCCAATAGCCATTCATTAAGCACTTTAACTCTGGGTGACAAAATTAGACATAAGCAGGTCACTAGAGACATGGCCAGGAAAGAGACATTTAGTTAAAATATATAGTGGATATAGAAAACTGGTAACTCCAAATTGTGAGTTTCCCCCCCAAAATTACATATGTGTAAATGAACAATA